TTGGTGGCTGCATTGTCCCTGCCTTCAAGGAGCCCACAGGTGATTATGACAGGGTGCCACGAGTCCCTTATCTGGATGGGGGAAATACAGAGTGCTGCCGCAGGAGCACCTAAAAGTGACATATGCCCCAGACTTGGAGATCCAGGAGGCTTCCTAGAGGAGGTGATATCTCAACTGAGAAGGATGAGTAAAAGTCAGAGAAAGTGTTCCTGGTGGAGGGCATAGCATGTGCAAAGGTCTGGAGGTGTGAGAGAAAATGGGGCATTAGGATAATTGGAAATGGTTTAGCTGGCTGGGAATTTCAGGGGGAGAGGAGCAAGCGACGGGGCTGGGGAGGGGGAGGGAAGTAGAGGGAGCGGAGGTGGTGGCAGGGGGAGGGATGCACAAAAGAGCTTGTTGCTCTGGAAACCAGGAGGCCAAACTACATGGTCTTTTACTTCAATAACAAGAATTAAAAGCAGCACCCAAAGCCCCCAAGGTCTCCCAGTTGGGGCGGGAGTCCAAGCTCTTGGGAGCTCTGAGCTTGTTATGGAAGGAAAACACACCGGTGGAATTTGGGGCTCTTTATTCCCCCTCTCTCTCTTTCTAAAAGAATAAATTGTCACCTTCCTACTCAATCTGGCTGCTCACTCTCCTGGCCCCCATCCAGCCGCCCACCAATGCACCACCGGCTGCCTCCTGCCCAGATCAGCCTTGGGACCCAGCCAGCAGAGGGGGCGGAGGAGACTTTGGGGGCCACATTTGTCCGCCCAATCCCCATACTGGGCCCTGGATGCTCCCAGGGGGCCAGAAGGAAGGGTCTCCCAGGCTCCAGGAAAGTGACTGCTGGGAGGGCTTGGTTACCCTCCTGCCACCTCACCGGTTGTACTCCCAGACTGTCTTCCTTCGCAGTGAGCCGCTCCCATAAGCAGAATTGGGGTCCCCATCTCTCCTGCGTGAACTTTGCTTTCTCTTTTCTGGGCTGCTCTTGAAGTTGCATGACACAGAGAAAAGCACTGGGCAATTTCTTATGTTGCTAATAACAGTGACCATTCACTGGGTGCTTAGTATGTGACTCTTTGAGACCAACCTAGAAAGAGGCATCAGTGTCATGCCCATTTTACACGTGAGAAAACTGAGGCTCAGAGAGGTTAAGTCACTTGCTTCCATGCCCAGCAAGTGGCGATGCCAGGAGTAAGACTCAGAAACTTCTCAACATTATAGCACCTCCAGAAAACATCTTTTTCTAGTCCCCATTTTCTCATTTGTATAATAAATATATTAAACAGCAAATTTAACAATGAATGAATTAAGCAAATAAGTCAGTAAGGTTCCTGGGTGTGTATTTGGCTTGAGGTCTGTGCCCTCAAGTTTCTCACAATTTGTAAGGAGGAACACACATGTGGCAGTGAGTCATCATATACCAACAAATGTTCTAGAAGTATGCACCGAGTGCTCTGTAACCATAGAGGGGGAGCAGGAATAAACCAGTGTCCAAGGGACACTCCAGGATCAGATCTACTATAGACGGCAAGACATCCACTTGCCCAGGCCTCTGTGCTCCAGCTTATGAGCTTGGACTCTAGAGTCAGACAGTCCTCGTCAGACAAACTCAGCTCTCTGTGCCTCAGTTTCCTCATCTATAAAATGGGCACGATAATAGTTCCTATTTCATGAGGAAGCCAGTCCCCAGCTCATAAGTAGGCATTCTGATAAACATTAGATATTTTTACAGCAGAAATAGCCTAGGTCCCAGAACCTACCCAGACCTGAGAGTACAATGCCAGGTTCTTGGAGGGTAGAGAAGAGGCTATAGAATTCAACCCATTCCCCATCTGCACCCCTGAAGCCTTGCAGAAGAGGCTCCTGAGCTTCAAAACACTTTGCTGTCATTTCCTTTGTAAAGTTCTTGGGCTCAGGAGCCAGGGAAAGAAAACTTTTTGATGGTTGAAGAATCATAATAGCAAATATTCATTGAGCTCTTACCAGGTGCCGGGTACTGTTCTAAGCACTGTGCACTTGTCAATCCACTTCCACAAAGTGATCAGAGGCAAGTTCAGAGAAAAGGTTTTGGGAAAAGGATCTAGTCTGGCTAAATCCTCCCAAGTCTCTTGGAGGTGTCTAAAGGAGTGTGGCTGTGTTGCACTGTTCGCATATATTTGCATGTTCAGGCAGTGGGATAAATGACCATGGCCTGTTCTACTTTGCATCCAAAGGCCGGGGATACCCAGAGGAGGAAGAAAAACTGAGCTCACCCTTAATAAAGAGGGCGTTTTTTTGCATGTACACCCACCCTCATGATCTGCAAGGGCCCATGAAGACCCCCATAAGTCCTCCCTAGTCATACATCAACATGCACACTCACGCTCACACTCACATACTCACTCTCACTCACACACTGTCTCTGGGTTGAAACCACTTTCCACTAGAGAATCTGTCTGCTCAGGCTTGAACTGGGTTTTCTGCTGGCCTGGAAGCCAGGGAAGCTGTAGAACTGCCACTTGGACCAGTGATGACCTTGGCCAGGTCATTTGGCCTCTATAGCCTCAATTTCCATATCTGTAATATGGGAGAGCGGGGCTGAATGGATAGGACTGTTCCTTGCGTTCCAAACTCTGAGATCTCCAAGGTTGCTGGGTTAGACATGATCTCAGTTGCCTTATCTATAGAGTAAGCCTGGGGATAGATGTCTGGAAGTTTCTTTCTACAGTGGAGGCTTTTTGTCATGACAGAAAACTTTGTCTCCTGGCCAATTCTATCATAACATCGGCAACTGCAGTGGCAGAAGTGTTAATAGTGATAACTGTCATTTTCAAGTGCTGACCATGTGCTTAGTGCTTTACCTGCATGATCTCACTGAAGATTTCTAAAACCCTTGGTAGGCATCCTGATTATTCCCACTTTCCAGGTGAGGAAACTTGAGACTCAGAGAGGTGCCATGGGCACAAGCTAGAGAAAACTCTTCTAGTTTCTCCCTCTCTCAAACTCAGCCTCAGCCCCTGTCCACTTACACTGGGCAGAAAGGCAAGATCTTGGGATATACAAGGCAGCCTTCAAGGATATTTTGTGAAACTTCTCTTCTGCTTGCCCACTGCATGGGTGAGGAAATGGAGGCCCACGTGCAGGGATGCAAAGACACTGTTATGGACTGAATGTTTGTGTCCCTGCCAAATGCATATGTTGAAGCCCTAACCCCAATGTGAATGTATTTGGAGGTGGGGCCTTTGGGAGGTAATTAGATTTAGATTAGGTCATGAGGGTGCAGCCCTCACAATGGGATTAGTGGCCTTATAAGAAGAGGAAGAGTGTCCAGAGTATTCTCTCTCTCTCACTCTCTCTCTGTGATGTGAGGACATTGCAAGAAGGCGGCTATCTGCAAGCCAGGAAGAGAGCCCTCACAGGGTACCAAATCTGTCCATACCTTGATCTTTGAATGTATTTGGAGGTGGGGCCTTTGGGAGGTAATTAGATTTAGATTAGGTCATGAGGGTGCGGCCCTCACAATGGGATTAGTGGCCTTATAAGAAGAGGAAGAGTGTCCAGAGTATTCTCTCTCTCTCTCTCTCACTCTCTCTCTGTGATGTGAGGACATTGCAAGAAGGCGGCTATCTGCAAGCCAGGAAGAGAGCCTTCACAGGGTACCAAATCTGTCCATACCTTGATCTTGGACTTACCAGCCTTCAGAACTGTGAGAAATACGTATCTGTTTAAGCCACGCAGTCTCTGATATTCTTTTATGGCAGCCTGAGCAGACTAATGCAGACCCTTAGAGAGTTTCTGACAGAACTGAAGCTTCTGATGCTTGCCTGAGTGAACCAAGACCACACCTTGTTCCTACCACTAGGGTTGCCAGAAATTTTTTTAGAAGGGTGGCCAGTTAAATTCAAATTTCAGGTAAACAACAAATAATTTTTAGTATAAGTATGTCCCATGCAATATTTGGGACATACTTATACTAAAAAGGGATTTACTAGTATTTATTTCTGGCATTTTATCTGGCAACTCTATCACTCCACTGTTTAAACTCATCTCAACACTGTAACAGCCAATAACTGGCCTTGAGAAAATCTCCATCTATGTATTTTCTTTTTAGTTCTACTTTAATGGGGATAAAAATAGCACCTCTGCCATAGAGTCATTGTGTGGATTAAATAAGTCCATATGGGAAAACGTGCTTAGAAATAATCATTGTTATTGATATTATGAATATTATATATTTTGAACAATGCTTGGGAAGAATCTGGTAGAGGTTTCAGGCAAGAGACTCAGCCACAAGAAGATTGAAGGATTCTGGGCTCTTCCCAGCCAGATGGGGGTCCCCCAGCATCAGTACCCAGCCTCGCCTTTGCACAGTGGAAGAAATCGATCTTGTTTGAAGCCCCTTGTCCTCCAGGTGGGACACTGGGAGGCCACTCACCTGAGGCTGATGGGTCCCAATCCCTAGGGACGCCCCATAAAACCCACTGGGCAGGGTGTTGCTGGGGCAGGCCTTCAGGGAGGCCCTAGAGGGTCAAGTGCGTCCTCCCTACATGCCCAACCTCTGGCGGCACAGCAGCATGTCTGAAAGCTCCCCAGGAATGGCTGTTATAGCCAAGGTGGCAGTGGGGGGCCCGGATGACAAATCCCTAGCAAAAATCCCACTTTCAAATCTTCCCATGGTGCCAGGCACTGGGTTAAGCACTTTCTCCATGTGATCCCATCTCCCTTGCACAGTAGCCTTGAGACAATGCCACCGTGATCCCCACTTGCTAGAAGAAGCTGAAGCTCAGAGAGACTAAGAAACTTGCCTCAGGTCACAGAGCTTGTAAACTGCAAAAGTGGAGTTTAAATCCAGGACTCTGCCCATGACAGAGTGTGAGATGGGGGGGATTTGAGAGGCGTGCTCAGGTAGTTCAGTTCAGCCTCCCAACCATCCTTGGGCCAGGCAGGCTGGCAGCCCAGGCAGTCAGGCCTCACTGATAGACCCTTAAGCCCCTGGAGGTGTTCTCTCCGCAAGCTCCCAGTCCGCACCCTGTGCTCACCTGGGCTGATATTGATGTCCGTTTGCGGAAAGGCCTGTACAGAGAGGAGGGCCAGGGAGGCTGCGGCCCATAGCCCCCACCGTTGCATCCTGAGCCCTGAGAAAGCTGCCTCCCGGTCTGTGTGGAGGAAAGAGGCTCTTCTGCAGCAGCTTGGGTCCAGGATTGCTCTCCTAGGTTCAGGCGGGCCTGCAGAGAGCTGGGACAGACTCCTCCCTCTCCTCTCTCCTCTCTCCTCCCTCCTCTTTGCACTGCTGGAGACAGCTCAGAGTGACAGGTGAAAGCAAAGCAGCCCTGGGTCACTCCCCCTCGGAGAACTGAGAGAAACCTTAGCTCTCCAGTCCTGCCTCTGAGCCACTTCGTGGCCTTGGGTGTGCAACCACTTCTCAGTGACTCAGTTTCCTCCCCCATCAGATGGGCTGATAATGGAGCTCACATTGCAGCTTGTCACAGGAGATAAAACAGCTTGGCCCCCACAGAGTAAACATGTCCCAGAAGGTAAAAATACAAGTCAGCATTGAGTGCAGAGGTCTCCTGGGCCAAAGGTAACACACTCAGGGATGTGATTTGTTTGGTCCATGCAGTGTTTTGAATTTTTTTTAAAAAAAATTACTGTCAGGGTATACAATCAGAAGATTTTAGGTGTAAGTCCAGATTTCGGCCTTCCATTGAACATCTGAAGATCTGACAAGATCTAGCGTGCAATTCTACAGTGCAATAGTTGCAGAGGTCTGAGAAAGGGCACCCCCTTCAGGCGGGATCTGTCTACTTCATTTCACCGAAGTTCCCACCCCATTGGTCTGACCCTGAAGGCGTCAGGGTCTCCCAGGGTCCCTCCTAGGGTTAAAGGAGGCATCTGTAGAAGGTTCAGCACAGAGTGTTAAACAGAGTAAGTGCTCAACGAAGAGCAGCAAGTGTCACCACTAATGCATCTCTATTGTGTGGTTTGTTCAGACTTAAATGTTTTAAAATCCTCTGGTCTTTCTATTGGGATCTCCCTGCATTTATGGAGGATTAACATTTCTAAAAATCAGAGTCTTTCTCCCTCACTTTGAGCGTTCTTAGGTAAGTCACTTTGCCTCCATGAGCCTCAGTTTCCTCCTCTAAAAGTTGGGAGATAAAAAAAGTACCTGCCTCATGAAGATTAAATGAAATAATTTGTTTACGCTACTTAGCATAGATGCTGGCAAGTAGTTGGTACTCAATGAATGACGGGAAATTTCGCTATTATTGTCACCAGTCTGGTGCAAGACTTTCCCCGGCATCACCCACATGGTCCCCACCACACTCTCCCTCTTTCCTCTCAAAACATGCTCAGCCAGGTTCCCTGACACCTTGTGTGGCTGGCACTCATGAGGAGAACTAGAATGTGTCGATTGGGCTTCAAAGTCATTCGTTTTCTTTCTGGAACACCTGCTGCTGCGCTCGTGAAGAATAACTTCACTCATGCCCACATGGTGTGCCTTGCCTTGCTGGCACTGGAACTGAAATTCTGCCAAGGCCTGATTCAGGATACAAGCACAACTCAGGCTTAACCTCATTGCCTGCAGCCTGCCTAGGGTATACCAGTTGCCTCAAAACTATCACACTGGTTCATACACCAGAGCATGCATATCTATTTATTTATAAATGACATGCATTTAATATATATTTATAAGTGATGTGCAGGTACTACCTATTGTACTAATATATTATGTCTGTTATAAAACACACACTCTAGAATTGACATTGCTAACAGTTGGTACAAAATAGAAACATAAAAGAAAGTTTGGATATTTTCTCTCTACTCCCCATCACCTTGTGCACGGTACTTTGGAGGTCCCTGCTGCTGTGTCCCTGGGGGCAGCCTGGAAATCAAACATGTCCACCTGGGTGTGATCATATTAGAGTGGGAGAAAGGAGATTCCAATGCAGGGCACTGGAATCTTTTTTCTTCAAAAAGTGGAGTATTAGAGTGGGAGAAAGGAGATTCCAATGCAGGGCACTGGAATCTTTTTTCTTCAAAAAGTCTCCAAATCCTTCAATTTGGCGAATAACTCCCCTAAATTATCTGTGTTATAATGTACCGTCTGAAGGTTTTTGCAAATCAGTGCATGCTTCTTCTCTGGATGGAAACACAAAAAGTATTTGTTACATGCTCAAATCCAAGTGTGGTCCGTGGGCCAACAGCATTGTCATTGCCTGGGAGCTCATTACAAACACAGAATTTCAGATTTCACCCCAGACCTGCTGAATCAGAATCTGCATTTTGGGCCAGCCTGTGGCTCACTTGGGAGAGCGTGGTGCTGACAACACCAAGTCAAGGGTTAAGATCCCCTTACCGGTCATCTTTAAAAAAAAAAAAAAGAATCTGCACTTTGACTAGATCCCCAGAAGGATCATGTGTACATTAAAGTTTCTGAAACATTGCTCTAATCAAGGGCAGAAAAACTTTTTCTGTAAAGAGCCAAATAGTATTTTAGGCTTTTCAGGCCGTACGGTCTCTTTCACAACTACTCAACTCTGCCAGAGACATAGGAATGGGCCTGTCTGTGTTCCAATAAAACTTTATTTACAAAAGCAGGCCACAGGCCAGATTTGGCCCACGGACTGTAGTTTTCCAACCTCTGCTTCAGACCTCAAGCTTACTGGCCAGAGAGTAGACAATTTCTTTGCTTAATAAATATGATCTCTGCTGTCATTTGAAGGTTGTAAGGGTCTCTCTGTAACACAATATATATTTTCTGGCTTCTTAAAGTTGTATTTATTGAGCGATAGTGAACCTCCCTCCCTCTCGCCACACACGCACATACACTGTATTCATGTGGCCTGGGGGTTCAGTGAAGAGATCTAATTATCTACCTCCTTTAATTTCTTAGCTTTTAAAAAGTATCCTTTATTTACCAATGAAACACAGGCCCCCTGCCCCTTCACCACATCTATAAGAGAGGGAGTAGATTTTAGTTTACTTTATGGCTTTCAATTCAGATGCATCCGTGTTCAGATTCCAGACCTGCTGCTGTGTGATCATACACTGATTATCTAAGTCCTGTAAGGCTCAGTTTTCCCATCTGCAAAATGGGAACAAATCAGTACTTCCCTCACACACGTGCTTCTAAAAATGCTTGACACATGATAAGCACTCAACGTATGTTAACTACCATTAGATCACTCTAGAACCTTTGAAAATACTGTATAGAAAGGTATAAAGTTGGGTAGTAAAATAACTACCCACAGGATAACTGCTGCCAACCTTTAGCTCATTGCCTTCCAGTCTTTTTTATAGGTATAAGTTTTTAGTTTTTACCTGCTCATTATTCCAGAATTATTTTTAAATAACATTTTTGTACATAAAAAAGGGCGGATATACCATTGGTCCTAGAAGACAGGCCACCCAGGAGGGATGGGAATACTTCTTCCTTGCAGTGATTCCCTGCCTTCTTGGAGAGTGAAATATCAATGCCTAAAATAGTTCTGGCGCCCTGGGATCTCATCTGAGTAGGGCTGGGGAAGGGTCAGTAGCTTCTGCTAAGGATGATCCTGAAAAAATACAAGTTTAAAGGCTTTAAAACTCCCTACCACTGCTCGTGACCCACCTTTTTTCTTTGAACTCTGGTCCCCACACCCCGAGGAGGGTTTTTTTTTTGATACAAGTTTAAAGGCTTTAAAACTCCCTACCACTGCTCGTGACCCACCTTTTTTCTTTGAATTCTGGTCCCCACACCCCGAGGAGGGTTTTATTTTTTTTGTCTTTTTTCCGTGTCCGGCACCAGATCGCAACCCTCAGTGTTGCCCCCGTACCGGACCGGGCACCGGCAACGGGATCGCAACCCTCAGGGTCGCTCTCGCGCCTCGCTCAGCCAGTGAGCGGGAACCGGTCTGTATGTGGGATCCGAACCCTTGGGCGGGAGCGCCGCTGCGCTTCCCAAGCTGCGCACTTATCCAGTGCGCCACCAGGCTGGCCCCCGAGGAGGGTTTTTAAGTAGTCCGTGTATCTCTTTTCCTACCTCCTACCTGAGGAGGAGGAGGATGCTAATTAAAAGGAGGGAGTAGCACCTTGGGTCCAGGTTTCTATAGAAACTCCATCCTTCCTTCACCTTCCAACACATTTCTCTTGTCTCCTGACACACTCTATTCCTGGAGACGTAGACGGCTCTGATCTGTGCTGCCACTGTTCTCTCTTGTCAACCCCCAAACACTGCCTGAAGTGTGCCTAGTAAGAATAGCCATCACACACTGTGCTGCGAGATATGTTAAGACTTTGCAGGCATCATTCCAGTGAATCCTCACATCAACTCTATGGGGTAAGAATTGTCACCATATTTTTGGATGAGACAACAGCCCAGCAGAGCGGTGAGCCACACCTGCTCTGAATTAGTGTGCTAGGGCTGCCTTAACAAAGTACTACAGATGGGATGGCTTAGGTGACAGAAGTTCACTGTCTCACAGTTCTGGAGGCTGGAAGTCTGAAATCAAGGTGTCGGCAGGGTGGGTTTCTTCTGAGGACTGTGAGGGAAGACTTTTTCCAGGCCTCTCTTCTTGGTGTATAGATGGCTGTCTTTTCCCTGTCTCTGCATATCTTCTTTCCTTTATGTGTGTCTGTCTCTGTGTCCAACTCTCCCCTTTTTATAGGGACATGAGTCACATTGGAATAGGGCCCACACTAATGACTTCACTTCACCTCAATTACCTTTGTAATGACCCTATCTCTGAATGAGGTCACATTCTGAGGTACTGGAGGTTAGGACTCTAGCATATCTATTTGGCGGGGGGGACACAATGCAACCTGTAGCAGGATCTAGTCAGTCACGCCTGGGTTGGCCTTCTAGCTCTATCTACTGCTTACTTGCCACACAACCTCACTAAACCTTGGCTTCCCCATTTGTAAAAGGGGAATAACTATCTCCCTTGTAGGTTGCTGGGTGAGGATTATATGAGATGTTTGGTACTTCATGTGGTGTTAGTCAGCACTCTTGTTATTACTAAGGAGGGCAGCAGATGCTGGGGCTGTCCCCACCCCCATCCCTCCGTCCACCTGAGCTTCCTGAGGTTGCAGTGAGCCAGGCCATGCACGTATATAGCTTACCTCACCAAGTGCAGGTGCCTCTTTCTCTGTCCAGGGATTTTTCTGGTGCTACAGGTGCTTGCTCAGCCCACTCAGGACAGTCCTGAGATGCCAGGTATTTAATGCCTCCAGGGGCAACCCTCAAGCCATGAGGGACAAGGATCAGTAGTTAAATACTCCAGCTTCCTGATTATGTTCATTCTACATGGGTCCCTGTGTGATTGAGCCTCAGCTGCCCTCAGTGCTAATCAATGCAGCCTTTATCTGCTTTCTCCTTTCCCTGACTTGTTCTTCCACTTATGCTTCCTGGTGTCACCTCCCAAGTGAACTATCTGCATCTGTCCTTACCTCAAGGTCTACTTTTGAGGTACCATAACTAAGACAGAGGAACTGACGCTCAGCAGTTTTGTGGTTTGTGCAAGGGTACCCAGTTAAGGAGTGGTGGGCCCAGGATTTGAACTATCACTTCTTGGCTCCAAAGCCCTCAGGTCTAATCACCGGCGACTCCATTTCTAGGCCTGAATGCCTGCTATGTACCTGTATTCCCCATTCTGTTTGTTCTCTCTTGCTTTTATCCTCTTCTGCACAACCACAGTAAGGAAGACATTTTATAGAGAAGGAAACACTCTCTCCTTTTCTCTCCTGAGAACTTAACGCAGGCTGCCTCCTTCTTCCCTTTGACCTCCATGGCACCTCCACTCCAGAGTGGGAGACACCAAAGGGTCCCATGAGATTCTTCCTTGCAATACCCAATGTAGCCAGGAAGGCTGAAGCCATCTCAGCCCCTGGGACACTTACCTGGGTCAAGGCCTAAGTAGGGCATTTAAGAAGCTAAATAAGCCATGAATCTTGCCCTGAACAAGTGAAGAGTTTTATGGAGAAGAGCGATACTGGAATAACTGATGGTAATACTCTGCCTGAGTCAAGCAGGCACACTGCAAATACTCAACATTCTTGAACCCAAAATCTGTGAGCATAATAAACATCACTGCTTTGAATTGTTGGTATGGTTCGTTACCCAGCAGAAGTAGCTGGAACACCCTCCCATCCTCTATGCTCTGTGTTCATGAAGAAAAAGATAACTCGAATGCATGGCACAAATAAATAATCTTTAATTTCAATAAATAGCTCCCCATCACACGTGACAATATGCTGTGGGAAAAGATACAGAAGCATCTAATGGGGGGGCGGAGAGAGAGAGAGAGGGAGAGATCTATTCTAACTACACTAATTCTTTAGCACATGAGACGTGACTTTGGTTCACACCAACACAGAAAGATCTGCAGAGTACGATGAAGGAAGGAGATCATCACGATGGCGTGTGGAGGCTGTTTTAATCCACATATCAGGTCCTTTGTAGGTCTTTTGTGGTTCACAATCACCATGGTTCAGTCAAAAAATGTTACTTTTGCTCTAGTATGTCCTATTTATTTGACACACACACATTACCGTTAGCCAAAAGGTGGAGTTTTTGACAGACAGGAGGACACTGGGTGAAATCTCACTGGATGGGAGAGGCAGAGAGAAGGGGGTGCTCAGGGTTGAGGTCCCAGCTCTCCAAGAAGACACATAGGTGCACACGTGTTCACCTGTGAGGGCACACGCACGAGAACATACACATCATACTCACAGGGAGTCCCCTGGAATAAGCTAACACAAGGACAAATTCAGTTAAGCCAGGAGAGGTTTCTTACACTGGGTATTATTTGTTGCCATTTGATTTCTCCAAAGAGCCTAATCTATTTATCACATTTACTAAGTAGAAGACAAAGATACTTAAACCTTTGGAGAAAGGTGTCAGGTTTGAAGAATCCCAGGGAGCATTGGCCTGTTCAGAAGTTACCCAGTGGGTGTGTGTTTTGGGAGTGGAGGGTCAGACCTCCCACACACTGGCCAAACTCTTGGTGAATTTAGTCTTGACAGAGGTTGGCACCCTTTGGGAGGTCCTTTCTCTGGTCTGAGGGTTGAAAGTGCTTTTCGGGGCAGGGGTATCAAGAGCAGGTACTGCCAACAAGTCCCATGACAGAGCCCGCTCAGCTTGTCATATATGGATGGGGTCTCCGGAAAGTTCTCAGGCCTTGCTCATTGAGGGTGGCCATTTTGTGATTAATAGCTTCCTCTCAATTGTGAGAGGATTTAGGGTGTGTGTGTGTGTGTGTGTGTGTGTGTGTGTGTTGTGTGTACACAGGTGTGGTTGTAGAAGGTATGTGAGGCTTTTTTTGTCTTTTTTCTTTTTCTTTTTCTTTTTTTTTTCACAAATGAAAGCTGCCGTCTGGCTGCCCTCAGGTCACCTCCAGGGAGGCAGGAGACACGCGGTCACACTCGGCTCGGGACCTCAGACTGTGCCACTGCTCCACGGCTGTGCGGTGGGTGTTGAGCATCCGTCGCCAGTGGTTGGATTCAGAGGGGCCCGAAGAGTATTGGCCGATGACGATCCTTCCAATGAAGTCATTGCTACTCTTCATGTTGTGGCCAAACACTAGGGAGCAGAGGGATGAGGACATGCAGGGGGGGGCAAGAAAGAGGGACAGAAACAGAACGGGGAGGCAGGGACAAGACAGAGGCCATTAGTCTACCCATTCCTCAACCACAAACACAGGGTCGTCATTTTGGTGACTTTATTTCTTTTCATAGAGAGAATTCCCTGATTTCCTAATCTCATCCTCCTGGGAGCCTCTCTTTAAACTTATGCCCTACTGCCTCCCCACACTGCCCACAGAGCTCTATAAATGCATCGTTCTAATGGGACAGCGAGCTGTCACTGTAGTCCAGTTGAGTGGTTAAACCAGTTTCTCATTTGCAACACTGTTGACATGGAGGACTATCCTCTGCACTGTAGGATGTTTGTGGCATCACTGGCCTCTACCCACTAGATGCCAGCAGCAGCACCACCCTCTCCCTTACTGCCTCCCCACACTGCCCACAGAGCTCTATAAATGCATCGTTCTAATGGGACAGCGAGCGGTCACTGTAGTCCAGTTGAGTGGTTAAACCAGTTTCTCATTTGCAACACTGTTGACATGGAGGACTATCCTCTGCACTGTAGGATGTTTGCGGCATCACTGGCCTCTACCCACTAGATGCCAGCAGCAGCACCACCCTCTCCCTTGTCAGCTGTGAAATCCAAAAAGTCTCCAGACATGGCCAAATGTTCCGTGGAGAGCCAGTGCATCCCAGATGAGAACCGCTAGGTTAAACTATGGGCCATGGGGCCAGACATCCTGGGGCAAATCCTGGCTCTGTCATTTGACGGAGCTCTGGGATTCCAAGGTAAGCGACATAACCTCTCTGAGCCTCAGTTTCCTCTTTGGTTAAATAGGCAGCTTAGTAGTACTTTATCTCACAAGTCAATGTGAGGTTTTGATGAAATAATGTGTGTAAAAACCTCTCAGCACATAGTGCCTAGCACGTGGTAAGTGCTCAATAAATCTTCTACTGCTATTTTGATCTTAAATTTCTGTCTGTTGATCTTTTAGGAAAGAGACCTCATGTTTCCTCTATTCCACACATGAAGGCAAGTTTGCAGAGAGAAATGACTATGGCAATTTCTTTCACCCCTTGTTGTGCCGAATATCTCTTTGGAAGTCTCTTCTGTTAATTCCAATGCAAGCTTAATTTGTGTCTTTCAAGCCTAATGAGATGGTTAACTTGATTTATCTTCCGGGCCAAGTTCCGCCTAATTCTTTATCTGCATGTGGGTAGTCCAGGCATGCATTTCACTAATGGGAAAGCAGGCTGTGTCTGTGTTATAAATGAAGGGCTACAGAATGGGAAATATCACAGATTCACCCAGCATGAGCTGTGCAAAGGCAGGCCAGATCCCAGGAGGGAGGCTGATTATCAAATAAACCAGCTAAGATATGCAGCCAAAAACAGAGCTTGAATGCTGACAAGCCTCTGTTCTCCCCTGTGGGGTTCATGCCAAGAATTCCAAATGATGAAAATGGGAGAAAAAAAAGAAAAGTGGAAGAACAAAACCCTCATCCATTGTCTAAAAACCAAAAGGACTTAGTGTGAACTAGGGTAAATGAAACACCATATCATCTCTATCAAGAATAAACAGTACCTGTAAGCTCTGTGGAGAAAAATTGGACCATGTATATTTTTTGTACATTTGGTAACATGCTCAGTATGCATGGGTAGATTTCATTTACATGCCAATCCCTTACAAAAGAAGGGAAATATTAGGAAAGGAACTTTGCTTAATAAAGTACATTGCCAAGAAGCTCTCTGACGCATGTGAAAAAAAAATTTTTTTGAATAGGTAACACTCGGGACTTTTGGAACCAGGCCTAGTGGGCAGTGTAAGGTTTGATCTCAGCAAACGAGAACAAGTTCCCAGAGTCTTTTTCCCTGTGGGCCTTGAATCTAAAACAAAATACTATTACGAGGCCATTTCAGGTGCCATGGTTTTCTTCTCTGGGAGCAAAATGTTCTATCTTCCTCTGCCTCTCCAAATCTCAAAAATGACAATGTAGAAACCTCATAGATGAGTATAGGTTTTACTTCTTCGGGAAAGGCATTTAAGAAAGGAAATCTCAATCATATTCATGCTGTTGGTGGAAGAACAAGTTGGTTAAGCTTTGGGGGATGTTCATAGTATCTGTTCAAAATTAAAATGTTCTAACTTGTGATCCAGCAATTTCACTTCCAGGAACTTATCCCAAAGAACTGTCTGTACAAATGGACAAAGATATACATACAAGGATATTTTATATAGCAGGGGTTGGCAAATGAGAGCCTCCCAACCAAATCTGGCCTGCCACCTGCTTTTGTAAATAAAGATTTATTGGAACACAGTAAAACCCATTTGCTTACATAGTGCTTTTTTGCATAATGCAGCTTTTGTGCTACAAGGGCAAAGTTGATATCTTAGGCTGTTTGGTCTGCTATAACAAAGTGCCATAAACTGGGTGGCTTATAAACAACAGAAATTTATTTCTCACAGTTCTGGAGGTTGAAGTCCAAGATCAAGGCTCCAGCAGATTGGGTGTCTGGTGAGGACCCACTCTCTGCTTCATAGATGGTGCCTTCTCACTGAGTTCCCACACGGTAGGAGGAGCAAGGCAGTGCCCTGGGTCCTTTTTATAAGGTTGCTGAAACCATTCATGAAGGTAGGGCCCTCATGACCTAATCACCACCAAGGGCCCCATCTCTTAATATTACCATATTAGGGATTAGGATTCAACATACAACTTTTGGTGGGAGTGGGGGACCATAAACGTGCAGACCGTAGCAGCAATCTTTCACTTTGCTGATTTTAGTCTGTACCCTTTTACTGTATTAAACTGAGCATGACAACTTTTCTGAGTTCTGTGAGTCCTTATAGTGAACCACTGAACCTGAGGGTGGTTTTGAGGGCCTCCTGAACTGTAGATACCCACTCATCAAACATCTTGATTAGTTTGCCTTCCGTTCCTGTCTCATTCCCCACTCCCTTATCGATGCTTCCCGGGTCCACCTCCTTAGTAGCCAACTTGCTCCAAGTCATTATATTAGGATCGGCTTTGGGAGGCACCTAGACTAAGACTGGAGGGGACCAATTAAATAATTTCTGATGTAATAATACCATGGAAATCCATGTCACTGATAAAAATTAGACAGACCTATATATACGAAACAGAAAAATCTCCAACACGTATTGCTAGGAGACAAAAGCAAGTTACAAAACAGTCTATGTAAATGCAATCTCTTTTTGTTCAAAAGAATGTTAATATATTTTAAAAAATAACAATATCTGAAGGAATGTTCACCAAACTGTTAAGAATAGCTCTCTTTGGTGGTGGTGGGGGGGAGAAACAGGAAAATTTCTATTTTCTGTATTATATAAGTATGTAACGAGCACACATTAGTTCGGAAAGAAAACAAAGGAAAAATAAGTTGCTATTAGATAATTCACATCTAAATCGCCAGAAGGGAAGAAAACTAAAAGGAAGTCTAATATCCTACGCTTCTTATCCCAATTTGCAAAGTAACTTGGCTGGTGAATCATTTGGCCCTTGAAACGTGGAAGCTTGAATGTGATTCAGCCTTTCTGATGGGAAGCAGTCCTTGCTATGGCCATCTGAGTTAATTGGCAGGCATCAGCACTTGCAAATCACTTGGTAAAGTTATGGCAATCTTAATGGTGTTTTACAAAATCAAAGATTTAAATTGCAAATTATAATAAGCTGAGGCAGAATAAAACTAATGACTTCTATTATAAAAGTTGCCCTGGAGAATATCAAGATTTGTCATCACTGTAAATTCTAAGGAGTGTGTTGATGGAGAGCATAGAGCATTAAGCCTAGACACGTGAAATCCAAAACGGGGCTCAGAAACAGTGGGACCATTTTATAGATAAGGAAATCAAGTCACCCACCTGGTTGGTGAAAAACCTCACAGTATTTGAAATAAATAACCAGTGAAGGAAGCCAATTCCTTATAACTATATCCTTAAATTCCTTCTCTTCAGAAACACTCACGACTAAAAATTTTATTGTAAGGCATACCCCCAAATAGTCCTACTGACTGTTATGGGGGACTCATTTTAACATAGTCACTAATAGATTACTGGACAATGTATATATTCTAAATGTACCTGAGTCATCCAGAAGCAATTTCACAACAACCAGAAGCAAAAAGTATCTAAACCATCTATCAGCATAGATGTCCGAAAGTCTATGCACAAAATCCATGAAGAGGGCCTTCTCTAAGAACCTATTTACTCTTCACGGGTTTAGACATAATTCAAATAAACTTGGTCATCTGGTTTCTCCATGTGGAGTAATCTAAATTAATATAGTGGATTGTCACTACCAGACAGATACAAGAACTCAAAAAAAAGTACAGTAGAACAGGACCGTGTGATGAGGGGGAAAACGACCCTTTATTCCTTCACAAAGCAGCAGGATATTCACTGTGTAATAATTTATTTTTATAATTATGTCTTTGAATCCATAAGAACACTCGATATTCTGCTTAATGGGACAAAAGAAATATGGAAAAATTTGTATCAAACACAAGTTAAAGTTCTTAAGCCTTTTTTAAAGTTTAAAGGGAAAGTCCAGTACATGGAAAATTTAGTCCCACAAAACACTTTTAGTACCCCTTCTCCAATGGCTATAGAATAGCGCCTCCCATAGGCACTTGCTGTGGTACCCGGTCATGCTGTGTCTCTCCCTAACCTCGATGGGTGTCTAGCACCCTGAAGTCTGTCCCCTACGGTCTCAGAGGGTCACCCTCCGGGGACAGGAAAGTACCTCAGAGTCCAGTTCCCAACTTCAGACAGTGTATGGACATACCCTGCCTATTCCACTTTCTGGAATTTTGGACCCAACTTACCTGTAAAGAACTATCAACATACCTGTCTAATGGTGCCATTCATTCACCACGGCAATTCAGGTTGGGGAAACATGACTAGGAAAACAAAAGTAGATGAGAGGCACCCACCAGGGCCCAAAGGTCAGGCTTTGTTTTTAAAATTTTTTTTTAAAGACT